CAGTGCTAGCAAGCTATTCCAGTATCATTGCCAATGATTTCTCCGCTCTTTTAATACTGTAATTAATAAAATCACCATGTTTTCAATTCAAATTTGCTTCCAAGAAAAAAAAATATAGGCAGCTTAGTAGAAGATAAAGTGATATGTGATATGCAATATGGAGGTTCAGACATTCAAACCTGTTAGCCTAAAATATCTCAATGTCCAACTAATTCTGTCAGTTTTAAATACATGCAAACCTAACTGAAAGCTAGACGGGTGGTAAAACTAAAAACTAAAACCCACAAATCCAAAAATCTCAGAACATATAATTTGATACTTACATAGAAACTTACTTGCTTTTTATATCCTGAAAAATCTCAAGAGGCAGATCATGGATTTAGACACCTCTTGAACCATTAGTGCTATAGATATTATCGACAATCTGCTGAAATTATTACTTGCTGCATTCACAATTCAAAGGGCAATAATTTCCAAAGATTTACCTCTCTATTGCATTAGCACTGATTTTTGTTCATACAGAAAATAACACGGTATATCAGATAGAGCAGCGTAGTTGGTCTGATAAATTCTGCATTTTTTATGGCAACCACTGAAATTATGTCATAAACCCAAAATAAAATTATCAAGAGTTTGTAATATCAAACTTTAGCTTTTCTTTCTTCTCAGCTTCAATCTGTCCTCAAGGAAAATCAAAACACAGTGCACAGAAGCCTGACTGCAGACAGTCATGTTACAACAAATCATCTTTGTATTTCATTTATCCAATGTTATTAGCAGAAAGCAAGCACAAAATTTGAAAGAGAAAAGACAAAAATATTCCCAGAATCATTTCCACAGTGGCAGAGGCAAGCATAGAAAATAAATTATTGTGACTGTGTTTTGTTTTCAAAAAGAAATGACAAACCAGGGCTGAGGACATCTTGTAAAAAGTCATGATGATTTATAACAAACCATTTTAGAACATATGTTGCACATGCATGGTTAAAACCATTACACAACGTTCTATTTTCCAGCTAACTTCTGCTCAGCTGCTGGCTTCAGAGGAGTAAAATATCATGAAGTGAAGGACAGAAAGGACAAACTCAGGTATTAGGCAGGGCACACCTAAACCTGCAGAATCACAGGGCTGACTGAAAAATAAACAGACATACACTTACCCACACTCTAAGCAGTGGCAGCAGCTCCCTGTGGTTGCTGTAGAAGAACTGGCTAAGCTTAATTCAAGAATGGAACATTTCTAAAGAGGTAAATGTCACGGGGTTTTTATAATGCATATTGGGTGTTTAAATTTTGTTGAACTGAGTGTGGTGGGTAGACCTTGGCCAGTTTTCAGACCCTACCCAGCCATGCTCTCATCATCCCTATTCCACAGGGTAAGAGGAAAGCAAGATGGAAAAAATCATTGAACAGGGTATAGATAGAGAGATCACTTATCAATTACCACCATGGGCAAAACAGTGTTAGCAACTGCCAGTTAAAATATATTTGGACAGTGAGAAACAAGCCAAAAAGATTAGAACAGCACTGTCACCCTGCCCTTTTCCAGGCTCAGTTTCACTCCCCTGCCTGTCCAACAACCTTGTCCCTTTTTAAATACACTTTCAGAGGCATCACTGACTTTGCTGATGGCCTCAGCTGTGACCTGCAGGGGATCAAATCCTTAACAATTCCCCACCTTTCTTGTCCCTGCCTCTGAGATCAAATCCTATTAGCAATGTTTGAGGAATGCTCATGTCAATTCTTCTGTCTGAATCATGCTCACTATTCACAATTCTAAGGACATCATGCATTTCCCGTGTCACTGATTTTTTCACCCAAATTCCTTTAATATGGCTCACATGACCAGCTGTTAACCATAACTTGAACCATGCATTACTTCCAAACACACCCCTTTTTTTTTACTGTTATAACCTCTGCATAACAATTCCCTAAAACAACATTACACTTCAAACTACAGCTGATACCATAAGATTATATTTTACAGCTGTTATATTTCAGCATTTTAAAGCTCACAGTATTTTCTATGATGCCATCTGAACTCTTCATGAAATAATTTCTATTCCCCCTCTGCACAGATAGGGATTCTATTATGAGGCACCTTATCTCATGGGCAGGGCTCTTCGTGCTTATCACAGTGCCACTTTTCCATTTATATAGTAGGATTGACAAATAGATTCTATCCATATTTTTGTTTACTGAGCCATTTCCTGTATGGAAACAAATTTGATTTGAAACAGCTCTGAAGTCTAGTAATGGAGAAACCCAATATGTGTCTGTCATAAGAAGGTGGGTGAAAGGAAGTGCAGCAGTCAAAAAGTCAAACTGGAAAAAGAAAACTAGATGGGGAAAGCACTCAAGTTTTATACTATTCTTCTAAACTTTGTTTTCAAGACAATTTTTTGCTACACAAGTCTCTTATTTCCTCATCAAGCTTCTTAATCCTGTATAATTACTTCCTTGGGCTCCAACCCCTGGATCTAGTTCATTTCAAAAGCAGCAACACAGAAAAAAGATTTCTAGAAGTGGAGGACACTAGTCTTTGGCAGTCAGAATCACAGAGAGAAATGATGCTCATAAAGGATCCTATGATTGTTTCAGGACTGATAGGACTTAGGATTGGAAGAGTCTTAAGAACAGAAGAATTAAATTATGAAACAGAGCTGCAGAAACTTTCACATAAGTGCTGTTCAGTTCCACTTCTCATCATTACTTTTTCCCCTTTGTTAAACAGAGATCAATAAAATCATTCTGCTTGTAGGTAGTTGGCATCTCAAACCCATCCTCAAGCTATTTCTATACATTTGAGATGATTCATATGCAGAACTGCAGCATTTAATCTTCATGAAACATAAAATGTGAGCTGAAACCCCATGAGAACTCCAAAATTCTCTCTGAACTATCACATAAATCCCATTTTAAAATGTTGTCAACTTTGAGAAAAGATCTGTAAATTATACCATTTCCCAAAGACTTTTTTTCTAGGAAAATACTGAAGCACAGAAATTTGTTTTCAGACTAAAAGAACATGAGATACAAAGGCAGCAGCACAAAAATCCACGTTTCCTACCTTTAATTCACCATGTACAAGTCTAGCTTTGGATCACTCATCCTACCAGGAATTTCCCAGTAAAAGGGAGAATGCTGGTAGGAGCAGAGTCGAGATTGTGATAGTAACAGTTCTTCTGGCAAAGTGTGAAGTGCAGATGGTGACAAAGATATGCCAATAACTTAAGCAGGAGCTTCCAATAAAACCTCTTGCAGTGCTTATTACACTCTGAATCAAAGGGAAAGGGGCAGCACGGGCTCCCTGGCTCTTTTATTCCACACCAGGCAGTTTAACTACTGCACATCCAAGGGCATCCCCCAGGGAAAATCCTGCACTCCAGATGGGTTTGTGTCTGTCCCAGGCATGAGCCACCTCTAAGGAAGTCAATTCACAGTCCTCAGAGAAGCAAAATCATCATCAGAAATATAGGAATTACTTCCAGTGACAAAACCATAAACAAAAGCGTTTTCTCAAGTATTCCTCTGAGCTCTTTCCATGGCATTCGATGATCAAAATATAAATGATAACCTGCTCCTGCCTATGAATGGTGCTCAGAGATTTAAAACCACAAACAAGACACACTAAGGCTTCTACCAGAAACTATCAATGCACTTGTAACACCATTGTCCATATATTTAAGCTTCTCTTTCCCAAACTTGAGATTGGAATGCACACTGCAGATGAGAACATTTACTGACAGAAAACTAACACATAAGGTTTAAGCACTGAAGTGGCATCTTTATGTTGGTGTATCTGTTTTAATTAGCTTTACTTTTCATGTAGGGTAAATAAAACATTAAGGAGTCAGCCAGACAGAGACACCACAAACTGTTTTTCAAATAGCTCCATGAAATGAGCAAGAATAAAGCTTGAAGAGTGTTATATTTACCTCTGTAGCTCCCAGGGCACTTTTAAGAACACTGGGTCAGGTACACTGAGACACTGAGAAAATGTGCAATTTCTTCCCCACTGAGCTGTCAAGGCATTCATGCTGTGAATAGCTAACACCCTTCTTTGACAACCAGGCAAATATTTCTATTTTCTGCCATTCTAGGCATGACGTATCTCCACGTTGCCACAGTTGATTTGGTGCCAATTCAAGTCAAACTTCAGATGTCTGAGCCAGTAACCGGACAAAATATTCTTGATGAAGCCTTGTCACAAACTCATAGACTGCTGCTTAATACATTTCCAAATAGTTAGATAGTAAAAAGGGCTGTAAAGCTGAAAAAGCTGCAGAGAAGCAGAACACACCTTCACTGAAGTGCCAGAATGGGGATTTAAGCAGCACATACAAGTCAAATATGCTGCTGCTTCTATTTTTTGTTAACATTGCTTCAAAAACACCCCAAGTAAAATTATATAAGGTGATGTTCCTTGAAATTAATTTCATATTTCTCATATTTCAAAAATACATTTATTTAGAGAAGCATAATTAATAACCAATTCTTGCTGAGCAAGGCTAAATGAACAGGTCCAGTTCAAGTGATAGTAGCATATAGATACTATAAACATTATTTTCTCTTAATACTTTAAAAATATAAATATCTAATGACATTTAACTTGTACCTACTGATCAAAAGTTTTAATTTCTGATACTATGAAAGAGGAAGACAGAATGTAGAGAATAATTCTTTTGGTGGGGACGGATCCTGTGGAATATGCTCTACAGGATCAGTACTTCAGTCTTGGCTCTTGTTCATGGGATAAGAATGAGCAGGTAATAATGGTTCAGTGTGTGAATACTCAAATACAAAGCACAATAAACTATTGAGAGTGCAGACTTTGTGCCAAGAATGTAAAGCACTTTTGAGACTGGATTCCATCACAGTGTTTCCTTACTCAGAGCCTCTCTTTCTAGCAAGATCTGGTTTAGTGTTTTAATTCCCATATTACAACCTACAGAGCATTAAAGTGCACAGGAAGTGGCTCAGCCCTGCCCAATACTTACCAATACTGGCATAACCAGGCGTGGATGGATCTCCCCCGCTGTTCAAGGAGACCATAAAAGCTTTATCAGCAAGGTCTGCAGTCTTTGGCAGGTCACAAGGATCAGTGTAAACCAGAGCACCACCAAACCCTGCATCTTCCAGCAGAGAAAGCTGAGGGAACAAAGCAGCACAGGTGACCATTAACAACAGCAGTGTCAGAACACATCACTGGTTTTTAATTACTGCTGTGATAGAGACTTTCCCATGCACCAGGTTCTCACCACAGATTGCTCTGTACCAAGCTGCACTGACAAAGTGCTTGTAGCTCCTTAACAGGTTTACCTGTGATATAAACACCACCCTGAGAATGCCTCAGTTTTGAAAATAATATCACTAAAACATCTTGAGTTGACTTTCCCTATTTTTCATGTTGTTATCTGCAAGATGTTCTTGCTTAGTTTACCTCTTCAAGGGCACAGCACATACTGAACATACTGAATATTTGCTGGCATCAGGATTTCTGGACACAGTTACTCTTCAATTAAGAGAGAAAACAGGAGTTTACAGAACATTTAAAAAAATTAAATTAAATTAAAAAACTCCAGTCTATCTTACCCAAATGTTTGGATCTGCGCCCTGTCAGACAAATAGCTTTTATTTTGTCATTAGAACATCAAAGATTGAGTTGGAATTGGCAATTAGAGTTTCCAAATACCCACAGATCTGGGCCAGAATATCAGACAAACTTCCCCAAATTCAAGGTCAATAGCATCCAAGTACCATAACCTGCAGCAGCTTTTTTGACTGGAAAAACTCAGGTTTTTTCTTTCATCAAGAACTGAAAAATAAGAGGATTTTATTCCAAAACAGCTGAAATCAAACTGTAATATGGCACATACCCCCATGAAATGAGATGACCTTTCTGGGTAATGCTCTGCATATTTGGAATTGCCTGAAGACTACTCACTGATACAAAGCTATATTAATTTTTCAGACAGAAGTAATTCAGGTATTTAAGAATTATCTTACTATTCACTGGGCTGCTCTGCTGATGACTTTCCAAATGTCTCTAAATGGTCTGAGGAATAACTTCAGGTATATGATGTTTTTACACAACTCTTGACTTCACAGGAACCTGAGGACTTTTTACTACACCTCTGTTTCTCAGTTCAATTGTCTTCTTCCTTCTGCATTTTAGAACCTTCTTTTTCATCTTCTGTATGTATATAATTTTCAATTTATCTCCTTGCTGCTGGTATTAAGGAACGTTTATACACAATTCTTTGTGGCTTTACAAGTAGGTAAATTACATGAATATATGGCATCTATGGTTTGAGCCTCATAAGCATTTGGTGTTCAGTTCTGCTTTACTCAACAGCTAAGACAGAAAAAAATATAAAAATAGCAGCCTAGAATTTGCAATATGCTAAAAATAGCGAACCACTATTTGCCATTTCTGTAAGTAAATACATCTAATATTGTTCTTTGCTAAGACCTTGACACTCTTCTGAATTCAGATAAGCAGATGCAAGTTGAACCTGTGAGTCACTTAACCCTACCTATCTTACACAAACAAGCAATGCACAGATGAAAAAGGATGCTTTGAGAGAACTCTAGTCAGATGAGTAGGAGAATGAGAGAAGGTGATTAGCTCAGATGCTTAAAAATATATTACAGACCTTAAATGTAATGCAGGAATAGGTATTTCCCAAATGGTAGGTTCATTTATTACTGTTTTGTTCTGTTTTCAATTCTTGTTCATATTCAGATATTCAGATATTCAGACAGGATTTGATTGCACAAAAAGCAGGGTGGGAGAACTAGGGACACATCATAGCTAAATGATATAACAGGCAGGATTTAAAATAACTATTGCCTTTTCCTGCCTCCATATCCAGCATCTTTTTATTAATCCCCGGTTAATTTAGTAGCACACAAAACAGGAAATACAATTTCTTTTTAAAAGAGAGTTTCAAAAACTTTGCACTTAAAAAAAAAAGAAAAAAAAAAAAAACCACACAAAAAAACCCCAGTATTAAATTCCTCAGTTTTAGTGAGAGAAAGTAACTACATATCTGCTATTCACAAAGTGCAGTAACCACTGCTACCATGGCTACAATCTCTAGTAAGGAGTTGTGTCACACATGTGAAATTACAAAACAGCTTTCAGATTTCAGCTATAATTGCTGCTTTTTAACTTTACAACAGTGACAGCACAACTATATCAACAATAATGTGCATTGTTGACTCCATTTTCATCTTAGATACGTCAACACTTTACCAGCCATAAATTGTCTGAGCACAAAGAAGCCAAAGAAGGTTCTGCATATTTTTTTTACAAGGCACAAGATTGTAGATTAATTCCTTCAGGTAAACCAGTGCACATCTACTCAAATTAATGGATTATTTTAGATTGCAAAACCATCCAACAGCAAAATCTGTTCCTTATGATTCTGGATATATGCGTTGCTCCTCTTCCAAAACCATAAACCTCTCAGAAAAACCTGGAAACAGCAGAACCCTTGGAAACAGATTCTGCTGCCCTCTGTTAACCCTTTAGTTATTTATGGCTGCTTAAGTCCTCCATTTTTAGAGTTACCTTAAAAAATGTGACTGTTTCAATTCAGTATATTAAATCACCCCATAAAACATTCTGGACTCAATTTAATCTAATATGAGACACCTGCTGATTTATCAAAGGCTCTGTCGTGTACCTGGGGACAGTTTAGCCTTGTAAACTCTACACACCACCAGGCACCATTAAATTGCCTTTTAAAGATGATATGGCTGAGGCAGTGAAAAGACAGATTGCAACAGTCTACAGAACTCAGTTTGGCTCTAAGGGGAAAACTCAAAGCTCCTTCTCCATTTTAACATCTCTGAGATGTGGGAGAGGAAACATTTCCCTTTTGCACTGACAAACAGGTAACTGAGCACTGCAATCTGCTCCACATTTCAGACAAGCTTTACTGTGGGACTTTGGCCACAAACCTACTGGCAGGTATTAGGTCCAAAATAAGCAAGCTGAGCATGACTGTTTGCTGAGGAAAAAGAAAAGAAGCAACAAGAAACAGGGGCCACCACCTTTCACAGGTGGCTTCAGTGTGTTTTAGCTCACCTGAGGCCAGTGTGCACCTGAAGGAACACTTAATTAGGGGTCATATTAATGATCTGAACACAGAACAAACCTACCAAACAGAACAGACTGCAGCCTCTGTGACTCTCCAGCATCATGCTGGAGCTGCCCAGCAGTGACTGCTGGTAAGCAGGGAAGCAGTGCAGCAGGTACTGGCCTCAAGCTGGATTTGTTATCTTCCACCTGAGTGCAAAGTCTGACTCTCTGAAGATCTTTTCCCTGCTCTCTTCTTCTCACCTCAGACCATCCTTGCACCCTGTGGACACCACACAGCACAAAACCAATCAGGTAATCAGCCTTCATTATTTTCCAGGGGCTGCACTGGACTGGTTACCTGCTAATCCCAGAGCTTCGGAAAATTAAAACCATGCACACTGAGGCATGGAGCTACTCCAGAAGTGCCCTCTCTTTCCAGCTGAAAATAAAGCATGACTGATGCAGCACTACTCAGATGTTCTGTGCATGGAAGCCACGTCTGGGGTTGAGTTTAAGCTGTCATTTCATAAGCAGATTGCAGAAAATCACATCACGCTTTGGTCTCACCTGGATTACAGCAACTGTGAGTACAGAGGGTTTCCTACACTGTTCTCTCACTGCATCTGGACAGCTCAGATCCTGTTTCTAGCACCTCTGATCCTGCAAGACCCTAATGTTTAAAGACAATTAAATAAGCATGCCATCTTTTCCCTCTCCTTTGTTTCGACTCCCAGCAACGTTCTGCTACAAATAATTTAGAAAGTAGCAATGCATGATTCCTAACAGGGATGGTTAACAAGGCTTCTGAATGCTCCAGAAAAAAAGAAAAGAAGATTATGAAACTAACTGTGGGTTAGATCAACGTACTAATTGCATATTCAAATAGCTTCTCATTATTAGCAATTCTTCTCACCATATTTGCAAGTGGTTCCAAAGAATGGACAAGTCTCCTGAGAACCCACTGTACACACAGTTCTCCCCCTCATGATGTTTTACAGCTGTGCAGTTTGTGCTTTATGAGGTAAACACCAGCCCTTTTACTGACAAATATTGCCTAAGTCCACTTTCTAAGCTTGTCCATTTATGTGTCCTGATCCACAGAAATGACTGAGCCACCGTAGAAAACTTATTTCACAGGAGTATCTCAGTATATTCCCTGCAAGCCTAATGAAAATGGGACACTGAGCAGACAAGAGGAAGATGCTGTTAATACATGACTCAGAAGGCATTAATAAAAACTGAAGAGCTTATTCCTTAATGGAATGGGAAAAAAAAACATGGAAGAGATCAAGAGACAGAGTGACAGATGTAAAGGAATTCAGAAACTTGTCCACAGATTAGACACCACAGAATCCAGCCTCAGGAAACAGAGCTGTGAAAAACCTGTTCACTAATCCATAGAACAACCTGTTCTTTTATTGACTCATACATTATTTAAGATAAAGCAGTTCAGTACAAGATACATTGGCTTACAATTCTATATAGCAAGTGACTTTGCCATCGTGGAAGATTCCATTCTTACTCAAAACAAGTAGCACTAACAATGTGTCTGGAAAATTTGATTTAAAATACAGCAACTTCCAAACACATTCCACCACTTGTAGAGAGATTTTCAAATCAAATTTTAGCGCTGGAAAAAAAAAATTATCCAGATCTTAATTTTATTATAGGTTCCCTACTGTTATTAGGGTCAATACAAATTCAGTGGCATTTTCTTATCTGATATAATTCTGCTTTCAACTCTATTACACTTTCCATCCTTACATAATAGTAAATAAAACAATATAAATTAGCTGCATGACAGTATTTAAGAGTTCTCTTCTATCTCATTATATATCATGTACTATGCTAGTATATTTTAAAAGTCTACATTTCAAAAAGCCCTTTAAGTACACCTTGATGTCTGATGTTAAAAGTGCCTAAAAATGTAGTTCTCATCTTCAGAAGTCATTTATGTGAATGGACTTCACACTGTTGAAAGTGTATCCTCACTGCTGTTCAGATAATCACACTAACAGATAATATTAGCCTGCTCACTGAAACTTCTCAGAGATTTTTT